TCTCGAACTACTCTGCACCTCCAGCTATTGCTTTAGGAACTCGTATTTTTCTAAATAAGAAATTTATTAATTTGTTAGTTGTTTAAAGACAAAGAGAATGCACAGGTCTGAAACCATCGCGATATCAGTAGAAGGAACACGGTTGCCACTTAGCCAGCCACAGATCAGTAATGAAAAATTGTATGGATCTACGGTTAGCTAAGCAATGAATTAAATCTTCGGCACTTCCTATAGATGGATGTCAAATCACCGCATTTTTTATTTCAACATAACAAATTAAATTAATAATGCTTATTCAAAAGGAAAGTTTCTCAAATCAGTGATCAAAAGCATAGAATGGCTCGAGACACAAGATTTTTGAGAGTTTACTCTGGTCGTGTTTATGTTTCGATCACCCGGCATCAGTCTTCTCCAGATAAACAAACAGGTTTGTGAGATGCGGGCTCAATCATCGGAACTGGGTTATCAACCTGCTGTATTATGTTCTATCAAATATTCTGTAAAATACTAATATTTTGCTGCTTTTCGGTATCAGTGAACATTGATAAAAATTACCTTCGGGCATAAATCGGTGATACGGTGAACTCATAACGTTTTGTCGTGTTAGTGCATCGAACTCCCTAGCCGTTGTTCCTCATGATTTCTTCCTTGTATCAAGCAGCGGGGGCGGTCGCATCCGTGTTTCACTCAACTGGTGAAGTCACGTGAAAGGTGTAGGAGTTTCCATCCATACAACGTCGGAAACTAAGAAATTTGATCTGCAGGGAAAAGCTGTGGGTCGCCTACTGTAGCAAAGGGAGGAGGGGTTAAACAGCGAGGGAAAGCTGAGCGACGTCGATCCAGCCACAATGCGGTAAAAGCTTAATATCGTACGTATATGCGAAATGCACCCTCCAGAACACAGTGAGTAGCAAATGGAGGACGACTGGCTTTCTTTTGCCGGTCTGGCAAACAGGCAGGAGTAGCAGTCCTCATCTTCCTCAAAGTAGCGAGGACGTTGATTTCGTCGAAAACACGAGCGACGCAATTCTGGACTGCAAGTTTTTTACCAGGCATGCCACAATGGCGTCGTGTACGCCCAAAAAACGTGAGAGTACCGGAAAATGGACCCAGTTTTTGACTGTTACATTAGATTGCGCAGGGCGAGACCGACTGCACAAATTGGCCGCCATTGCCAGGCTGGCATGGCGGGAGAAACGACGCCTGTGATCGTGGTTTCGTGGTTGTGGTAGGTGGGACTGACAGAGATTATCACGCCTTTGACGCAAATCTATCCAAATCCCTCAAACAGCGATTCCTCGAATACAAAAACAGACGAAAGCACGGAGGTCAACGTCCGGTATTAATAACCCAAGAAACAAGACCTCCATCACGTCAGGGCAAGGCTAAAGATCCCACGTAATTAGGCATTGGAGAAATAAACAGGGAAATAGCCCCTGTGTGACTTGGATGGCAAAAATCTGGAACATCGGACCTCACAACGTCGTTCAAATTGTCATATCCGATTAATGATAACATCAGCCAAATCCTT